CAAGAGGGCCTCATACGATTAACACGCTACTTGTTGCCTGACTTAACCATCAGGCCCAGTCTTTGGTTGAATCTAATGCGTTTTCAGCCATTTCGCCATGACGCAAGATCAATGTTTCATGAGTACGACAACTCGTTAAAATTTAGAGACACTTCTTCGGTGTATTTTGTATGCAAATGCAACTATGAGGCATATTTGCTTAGGCCAAGGAGATGTTTCAAACCTGCGGTATCCAAGCATGGCTCTGTCATCCCGTACACCAGCACCGCACAAAGAAAAAAAAAGGTAGGAGGGCAAGACTGAACACCTGTACGCGGTGTCCTCTACGAACCTGGGAGTAAAATATTCTCCCAGAGCCAAGTTCAGTCAAATTTCGCAATAGCGAAGAAATTGGACCACGATGCAATGATACACTGCTCTCTTCGAAATCAAACTCTAGCAGCCAACAAGATCGATCTCCACCGAAATCTCATCAAGTTCACAAGTACCACATAGTATATCCTCGTTTCAATGACCACACCTCTCGTTTGAGTAGCCTGGGCACCTACTTCACTTGGCAAAGAGACACCTAAGACCATACTTCGCGCGGAGGAAAGATAATGGATGACGGAATGGGGAATTGGTCAATTACTTCCGTAGAATATTCATTTTTGTTCATTAACTTGCTAGGTACAGTGACTACTGTTGCACTCCTACTGGAGCATAAGCACGAGTAGGGCCGTGTTGGATCAGGTTAACTACCATGAAGTACATCTACCTCGTCCCACCTGAATGACCGGACCACCTCAGACTTCACCCATGTGTTGAATCATGACAAGCCCAACCGTCCAGCGAACCTTCTTTTGACGCGCCGAAGCGCAGATTCCTCTTCAGCCTCGGCCACCACGCGCCCGAGCCCTTGACACCTTCGCCATCTGCAACTTTTCTCTTCCATTCAGTCCCAGCTTTGGCCCATCTCATCCAGGTGTCGATTTCTTCATTGGAACTTCCGTAGACGATGTAGCCTAGCTTTTTGAACTCCTCTCTCGGTCATTCACCGACGCCATTAAAATCGCTCAAAGACGCAGTAGCGTGAAGATCGGACAGTCTCGTGGAATCAACTGATGATTTTAGAAACCAGCGCAAGTTCGAAAGTCAAGTCACTTCATGTTATCGACAGAAGGAGCTGGAACTGAGCAGCATTTCCAGCCCTGATCACACCTCGCTCAATTTCATGACCAGGGAGTCCCGACCCTAATTACCGGCATCACTGGAGCCTTCCTTGTTGCCTCTAGCGTTACGCGATGTATATCACCTGACCGACATCGCCTCGGTAGATCGATGAGTGCCGCGAGGCAAAACGCTAGTCCTCGATCTTCAGGAATGACGAGAATGGAGACATCTTGCGCCGGATCGTGAAGAGGGCGAAGCGCCAAAATTAGCGTCGGAACATCTCCAAAGCTGTGATAGACACTGGCGTGTGCTGAATGGCACGCTGGGTCTAGCAGCGAAATTGAACTACGGCCTCCCTTCTCAATATCCCCAACGTCTTAGTTTCGCACTCAAGTCGCTGAGATTATTTTCCGAGAGACCGGATTCTCAGTCGCCTCACCAGTGAGAATGAGCATGAGCATGAGCCCTCTGAACGAAGGAGGACCGGCTAATCGTGGGCCGCAGGTATCAATGATGAAGAAGCTCGAGGGGTTGTGTGTATTTTTTATTGTACTACATGAGTCTATGAGTATCTAGCACATTGGGCTCTTCTCTGGCCCAGACCACACCTTGTACAGTGCTCCTTGCCTCTCATGTTTCTTGAAAGATCATTGACATATTGCCCTTGATGAATAGCCATTCAGCTCAGTACTTACCCGTGGAATTCGGCCACCTTTTCCACGGAATCTTCTACCTAAAAAAATAAAAATGGTAGCAATGGAAACTGTGTGCGCGGGAATAAGTCTCAACAAAAAAGCCTATAGCCCCATTCAGGCGAGGCCTTGACACCGGGACCATATTGGGTGCGCATACTCATCTGCATCTCCTTTCTTTGTGATATTAAGAGCCAACTTGATCCAATCCACCATCTCCGAATCGGGTGCTGGGTACGCTCGAGAAACTTATCGGATGGCTTTTCCTCCATGATCAAGGGTTGGTGATGAGTAGGACTCCGACTATACCATCTGATCTAATCGCGGCTAGCTTCATGATGTTGAGAGATGAAGACGACATAGACGGCGAAAGCGATTGGGAATCCTCGTTGAAGTGAGGACTTTGTTACTCAATCTCAGCTCTGCAGACTCTACAGTGAGAGCTGGAGGTTCGTAGGGGACACCACTGACAGGTGTTGAGAATAGTCCCCCAAGCCCCTCACGTAGACGCAGTTACAGTGCGGCTTCTCTTGGCAGCATGTTATGATTGGAGCCTTAATATCTCTGCATGTGTATGCTGAGGATTGGCGGGATAGAAAGATAGATGGTGGCAATAGAATGAGACCGGACACCATCGATCTGGAAAGGCGTAGAATGGTGGCAATGTGAGCCGTAGTGTCGGCACGCGTATGTAAGCGTAGTGGTTTTCTAAAATCTAGTGATGACCGAGCACATTATAGTCCCCATATACCCATCTGCTACAACCTCCAGCAAACGTACAGTACATTACCAGTAGCTATTCGACTTCTCGTAACCTCGCAGCTATATCACCTCGCCCATCGCAGTCCCCTCCGAGGACCATTGACTACACGAGTAAACATCCATCTGCCACCTCAACCAAGCCTATAAATAATACCTAGATTTCATTTGCTCGAAACGGACTCCGCCACCTCGCAGTGCGAAAATTAAAGCCAAATAACCGTCAAACTCGTACAGTTGTTTGGGATGTGTAATAATACTCCCTAGAAACTCTCAAGTAGTTACTTTTGAGGGCTTTAGGCTGTCGCTAGGCAATGGGAGAGTGATACAATTCGGGTTTTTACTTTAACCATAGCGGTTCATCTCGGTCATAAAACAGTAAGAGACTCGCAACCTCTGGTATTGATTATCGGGATAAAAGTCTACTGCGAACTCTTGCCTAGCATGATCTAACATAACAGATTCCAACAAGCGCAAGCTGCAGGAGGTTGTATCGCTGGCGATAGTCGGCAAAATGGTGTTCTCAGAGATTGAAGTCAATCATGAACGACGCCACTATTCCCTAGCGGGCATCCGACAAGCAGTTATGGAGCTGCTCAACTGCTCATCAACCGATAAAAGCTCTGTTAATCAAGTGAGAATTAGCTTAGTCGCTCCACAAAAAGATGATTTCAAGTGACAAGGCTTCCTAGATGCTTTCTCAACTATGATAAGTATCGAAGTCAATTTAGAGCAACCTTTTAACTCAGTAGCTCCCGGGATCGCCACTGTGCCAGTGATGATTGAAACATTGAGAGGTCTAGTCACGATCATCGCCAATCTGCTCACCAACGAGATCGTCCCCAGCCCAGATGCGCTACATCGCAATTGACATGCACTCATTCCCCGATTATCTGCCTCTTCAACGGGTCTGACATTGCTTTAAACCTCAGCCCCGAGGCTGAATCAATTGGAGCGGTAGCTTGGTAGAAAAGCTCAAGCTACCAGGCCTCTATTTAATATCATCTAGTGAAGCGGATGGGGATAATGAAGAGTTGGAGAGCTATGGTGGAGGGTTGTTGATTGAACCCACTTGGTATCTTCTCTTATGATTCAACGTGTATTCAATTATCAGTGCTATGAGTACATTTTAGATGAATCTTCCGATGTTAGAGACACTCCTACTCTGGATTTTATTTTCAAATACCACCATGAGGTACGCTCGTTTGCGTACGATACTCGACCCTCCTCCATGAGTACCCATCAAAGGGACATTGCAAAATACCTCATCATTCATGCACACTATCACCATGAGAAACGTGGTCGAGTTTTTTTGCCTTAGAACCAGCAATCTCCTAAATTGTATGGGCTAGATGTCCAAGCCATCAAGAGCCTTTTTCGGAAATTAGTTTGAATGATGTACCACTGTGCCACGCACATATGATGGTACTTACAGTGTTGTCTACTGTCTCAAATCAAATAGTGAAGCACACGCTACTCTTCATTTTGAAAATCTCCCTCTTCAAGTCTCAAATTTATTCTTTCCAAAATCATTTCTCCCCTCGGAATTACGTTTTCTGTCTACTGATCGCTTTCATGTCCATCCTTGAGATATAACTTTCTGATTTTTGTGCCACGATTCGTATTCAGTCATTTGATACTGCACTAGCTATCCTTCCTTTCGAATCCATTGAAAAATTCTAGCCATGTATTATAGTATCGAGGGACCGGATAGTTGAGTTTTACAGCAACTCGCCTCTTTATTTTACCAATTTTTGACAGGAAATCGCCGCTTGCTATACGTTTTGAAACATATATCTAAATTGAAATTGTCGGCTTCCTACTACTAAACTGTTTCTTCGGTACGATTAAGAGTCGAGCCCAAGTGCTCGCTTCTTGCGTGGAAATACCGCTCTGGGCCCTGCTAAGGTTTTGGATAGGTGACTCTCTATAGTGGGTCGTAAGTCTGACTTATTTCTTGTTGTTGTGCAAGATCGCAGCTATTGTATTTCGTATTTATAGATCTAGCGTTTACTTATTTTTTGATACATCATCTAACTTTCCCACTTTGCTGTAATTTTATCAATGCTGTGGCAAAATTTTTGAATTGGAGTTGATATAGGCAGCACAGGTTCAAGCGATTTGTGCTCATAGTTTTCTTTTATTTCCTCTTTGAAATTTTCTATTTTGAGCTTATATTCATTTTGGATCCCTTTGTAGATATTTTTTTACATTTTTGCGGCAATCAGCGGACGATCCAATCTTTCCAACAAGCCAATATGGTCACACAAGGTCATAATATTTGTTAATTCTCTCTAATCGGGAATTCATCTCCCTTTCTTTAGCTTAGATACCGTCTAATAGCTGCCATTTTGATACATGCCTCAGTATAAGCCTAGCGACTTGAGATCTCCTAATTTACCTCGCCAAAAACTTTTGGAAGGCTTTGTGGTCAATTGAGATGTTTCCGACCGCCTTTAACCTCTTCCTACCTTCTTTTTGCTTGTCAAGTAGCTTTCTTTTTCGACCAATATCAGCAGCGTGAAGTTTTGCCAGTACATCTTTTCTAAACGGCTTGATTGTTTCTCGAGCAACGATACGACGCCCAACTGCTGCTTGAATGACTATTTCAAACATTTGCCGTTCAACATGTTCTTTAAATTTGACGACCCACTGACGGCCGATTCGTTCAACTTGTGAAAGATGAACTACTCGTGATACAGCGTCAACAGGCTCTTTATTTACAAGAAGCTGCATCTTAACAATAGAACTTCTTCTGAAGCCTGCATCTTCATAATCAAGGCTTGCATATCCCTTAGTAGCCCCTTTTAGCTTGCCGAAAAAGTCATCTACTAGTTGTGCAAGTGGCAAGTCGTACTGAAGAATTACTTGTGTGGCTGTGAAAAAACTTAGCTCCTTTTGCTCACCTCTACTTGCCTCGCACAGCTCAATAACTTTTCCCAAGTATTCCTCTGGGAGTGTGATGGTGGCATTTACGTAAGGCTCCTGGAGCTCCCCAATATCTTGCTTTCGAGCCTCGGTATCGGGGAAGTGAGTAGGTGTCTGAAAGATCTCTTCGCGACCATCCTTCCAAATAACCTTGAAAGGGACAGATGGAGGCGTAATGATTAAGCTGGCGTCGTGCTCTTGACGTAGGCGATCTTCAAAGACAGAGCAATGTAAGGTTCCTAGGAATCCAAGTCTCCACCCAGCACCAAGAGCCTCTGATGATTCTTTTTGCAGAGAGACGCTGCGATCATTTAAGACGATTTGATTTATAGAATCTTCCAAATGAGTGTGATCACTCTGATCTACTGGAAACGCCGATACAAAAACCATTGATTTGGGTTCCTCAAAGCCGGGATAGGGCTCTACGATCTTTTCTGATCCAACGGTGGTAAATGTATCACCACTCAGCGCCTAAGAGGGTGAGTTAGCAATTATTCTCGTTGGCCTTTATCCACTTCCTCAAGATAGGCCAATTTCATGGCGTCAAAAACACTTAAAGTGAAATGTATTTCAAAAAATAGAAAAACTCTAACCTCTTGGCTCTTCTTCATGCCAGGATTGAAGAAAATATATCCAACTTGCCCAGCACGAAGGGCAGTCTGTGGAGTTTCGTGAGGGTACATAATTCCAACCTCGCCCACGAAATATTTTAGACCAGTTGCAAACGATCTTATCTGATCACCCGCCTTGATAACTCCATCAAATATCCGCACCAAGAGTATAACTCCCTTGTACGTATCGTACCATGAGTCCACGAGTAGAAGCCTGAGTGGCTTCTTATGATCTCCTGCCGGGGCAGGTATTTGTTGAATAACATTTGGTAATACATTCTCCACATTAATCCCAGTCTTAGCAGATACGAGTACAGCATTTTCTGGTTGCAGTTCGAAAGCTGATTTCATTTGTTCCAAGGCCCTTTCAGTATCTGCGGATGGTAGGTCAATCTTATTCACAACTGGTACTAGTCGTAAGCCTTGGGAGAATGCGAGATAAAAATTTGCAACAGTCTGCGCTTGAACACCCTGACTTGCGTCGACGAGGAGTAGAGCACCTCCGCATGAGGCGTAAGACCTTGATACTTCCGCTCTGAAATCTACATGTCCCGGCGTGTCTACTAGGTGCAACAAGTAATCTAGCCCATTGTACTGATAAAGCATAGAGCAGGTTTGCGCCTTAACTGTAATACCTCGTTCTCTCTCTACGTCCAACTTGTCCAAGATTTGCTTGTTACTTCCAGCTTCGATAGTACCGGTCAACTCAAGTAGCCGGTCTGAGAGGGTACTTTTGCCATGATCAACGTGTGCAACGATGCAAAAATTTCGGAATCGGTCGATCGGTATAGCTTGTATGCGGCGTTCGAGTTCCGAGACAAGTTTGGATGCTTGGGCAGTTCGTGAAGTGGAGTTGGTCAACCAGCGGTGAGCCGATGGGCCAGACCTAGCTTGGCTGCTACCAGAGAGACGCAGACAAGAGAATAGACATCGCCGCATGAAGACTATGTGTGATTGTGCGCGGTAGGTTGGACGAATGATGTAGCGACGGCACTTAGCACCGCACTGCCTTTTAACCGACCTAGTCCCATACCCACATCACTGGGCCAACTAAATCGTGGTCATCAATTAGATATGGTAAGTTCAGTAGTGGTAACAGTACGATAAAGCAACATCTACTTTACTATGGCAGCGGAACAAGAAAAGGCTAAATCAAAAGTTCACAAGCTCTCACTCAAGGGTGACCCATCTACGCCGTCTTATAATCTTATCTATACTAACTTTTCTTAGGATCCTCTAAGCTGGTTGCCGAATTTGTTCGTCGCGGGGACTTAGAACTCACCCCTGGCACCAAAAGTTCGATACTGATTAATTCCAGTTTCACTATTCTATAAATACAATACTGTGCATTCCATTTAAATTTCAAATTAGCTTCACGAATGCTAACTTTTACAATCCAGCTTTCAGCGTGGCGTATACCCGGCCGAAGATTTTACGGCGGTGAAAAAATATGGACTAACCATGCTGGTTTCATCTGACGACCAGGTCAAATCTTACATTAAAAAAATTATGTCCCAGCTCGACAAGTGGATGGTCAAGGGTAAAATATCTAAATTAGTGGTTGTCATCACTTCCAAAGACACTGGCGAAAACGTGGAGAGATGGCAATTTGACGTACAGATTCTTAACAAGGAAACAAAAAAAGTGACGCAGAATCCAGTCATCAACGAAAATGAAACTCCTGGGTAAGTTTTACGTGGGCGACAAATCAATATGTTAATAGCGGGACAGGTTTGATAAAGCGCCATCTGTAGAGAAATCCGAATCTGAGATTCAGTCCGAAATTCAGTCAATCTTTAGACAGATCACCGCATCCGTCACGTTCCTACCAGAACTCCAAGGCGATTGCACCTTCAACGTTCTTGTCTACGCTGATGCAGACAGTGATGTTCCGATAGAATGGGGAGACAGCGATGCCAAAGAGATAAAGGATGGTGAAAGGGTTCAACTACGGAGTTTTAGCACCGCAAACCATAAAGTAGAAACTTTAGTTAGTTATCGGCTCTCAGACTAGGATGCATAAGATATGCATGAACCTATGATCTTTTGCGTACTAAGAAGATGTGACTCCTGGTAAGAATTAATCAGTATGGAAAAATACTGGTACTGGCTGGTTGGCAGTCGAAATCCTTAGTCAAGTTCAATTTCGTGAAACAGTACTAATACAGCATCAAATTTGCAAACCTAGGAAACTGCTTGTAAGTTCTGGACGATGTATAAATCTAATGCCATGTTATTTTCCTACTATTGTCACCCCTTCCAGAAATTGGTATACTACATAAATTATTTGAGAGCCATTTTATATCTTTAGATGGAAACTCCTTGCTAGCCTTCAGTTCATTATCGCGTTCAATTGCCCTCCAGAGCATATGCCCGAAAGGCCTTGTGGGCTTCCATTCTTTAAAAATTTGGAGATCAAGGTCAATCTTGCGTTTAAATTTATCCTGGAGGATGTCCTCAGATGACCGAGAATTTGGTTGGCTTAATTTTTTCGAATCAATATTTTCATTCACAGCTTGCGAATAAGCTTCCATTGGATGTTGCTCTCCAGGAAGTCCGAGAATGACAATGGGTGCAATATTAGCCCATTTTAGAGAATTTAGTTTCATAGTTATTGAAGGGGTTACTGTTAATATTCTAGCAACTCGCTTTCTCGCTGTAAAGGGCGTGCTTGCTGATAAACAGGCGTATCTCCAAACCACCTTGGCCATGTTGAATTTCTCTAAAGTCCAGGCTAGGCTAAACAGGATCCGACAAGTCTCCAAATCGGGCTGTAAAAGAGCTTGAAACTTTTTGACACTAACAAGATCGACGATTAAAGCCCATGGGTTTGGTGATAAGCTACACGAATGAAGTAGAGTATTTATAGTCCATGCGTCTGGATGCTGTGATTGTCCCTCCATGAACTCTAGAAACTGGAAGACCCGATCTACAAGGCAGTACTTCCCAAGAACGGCCAAGATTCGGTTAGCAACGTCTATACTAAGCCATTTGGGACCATACTTTAAATCTATCGTTTTGATAAATTCATTATGATCCTGATTGTCACACAGTAAAGAATTCTCCAGATCACTTGCAATGAGTTGCTCAGCAACATGTTGAAGCGTCCTCGTGTACGAAAGGAACCCCATTTGTTTCATTTTTTCGTACAAATAATGTTTAACCCTGCTGCTTGGCACTAGCATGATGAAAGCCACCCATGTCTTGCCATTGGGGGCCAGTCCATCTTTCAACATCATATGAAGAATAAAGTGAAAATTGTGGAAGTCTCCAGTTACAGCTGAAGCAGTCAACATAATATTGTAAGTCTCGGTGGTTGGTGGTATATTAAGAAATTCCATGTTAATAAAAAGTTCTCTGACTAAATCGATCCGGTTCTTTCGAACATAATAGTTCATAGCTCTATGAAAGGCTGATCTCGAAAAAACGCGTTGTGATTCTGGATCCGTAAGCAATTTACGTATAAGCTCCATAATAACAAGGGAATATTTTGACTGGATTGATGCAAAAGATGGCGGTGGAAGAAATCTCAAGAGATGAGAGGCTGGATCATATACCGTTAAATCTTGTATGTATTCTAGAAGACTAATTGATGTCCATATCTTAGGCTGCGGTATCATATGTGCGGGAATTCTAGGTCTTCCGCGCTCACTGGGTACATGCCGAACCTTCTTTCTGTCGACCAACCTCTCCGCACGGAGAGGGTCAAGTTTAATGGGTATAACCTTTATGTAAGGGTCAACTTTTAGAATACTCCTCAAGGTGTCCCTGATAGCCGTCGAAGATCCAGATAGAATAAATCTTGAATAGTCAAGAGGTGTCTCTGGACTATCAAGCTCAACTGTACAGTCATGCACACCCCCGATGTCAAAGATAAAGTTGTCAACACTACTTGTAAAAATTTTAGTGGAGGCCGGGGATACAATGATACGAGCGGCTCTATCAATCCTTGGCCCATGGGTTGGAGATGTTCTTACGAGAACGTTCTTAATTGTATGCCAATCTGGTTTCCACAAACCCTTTTTGAAACTATGGTACTGAAGGCGTGCCTCAATGCAGTGAGACTTGTGTTTTGCAGATAAATTCAAATTTCTCACGATTGTCTTAACAAGATTTTCTCTGTGCTTCTCCTCGGCGGCATCATTCGATTCGATATACGAATATCGCACTGGCTCGTTTCTTTCGCGGGAGAAACATTTTTTCAAGTTGAAATCTCTATTTTTTAGAGAGTGTATCGGAAAGTCTGCAGCTTTGAGGAAATTGTGGTTTTCGGCATCTTGTTCGGGCGCTCTAGTTCGTGAAGTTGCGCAAAGGCTTTTAACCAATGGGTATTGGAGCAGAAAGAGTCTGTCCCTGGGTATGAAAGTATTAGAGTAAAAAAGCTTTACAGCCCTCTGACTCTGGATCAATCGGCTGCCTAGGCACATTCGCTCTTATTTTGGCATATTTGTTGACTGCTTTGACGAATAAGGCTACCATTGTTGTCTGGAGGTTCGACCCTTGAATGATCCGCTTCTATGTCACATGCTGTGCTCATCCGCAACGCAACCTGTGTGGATCCAGAAGATTCGGATCATAGTACCCCCGTGTAAGGTTCGGAATAACTATCGCACATACACCAACTCTGTAGAGTAGTAGCTTTTGGAAATACAGAATACATGCCATACAGATCACAACAGAGGAGGGCAAGACTGAACACCTGTACGCTGGGTTTTCTACGAACCTAGGAGTGAAATATTCTCACAGAGCCAAGTTCAGTCACATTTCGCAATGTCAAAGAAGTTGGCCCACAAGGCAAAAATTCAAATTACTCCACCACGTCGTTTTTTCGCTCCCTACGAGTTTGACACCTACCTAAGTCTCATCACGTCTACAAGTACGACCTAGTTCATCCTAATTTCAATGGCTACTCCTCTCATCGACTATTCTCTGGCCTAAACTGGCCACCAAATACACGCCCACGCCGAAATTAATACCCGACGGAGGAAACAAAGCGTGGCGCACAAATCTGGGAGACAGTTCTTTTGGATGGACCAGAAAGGTATCAAGACAAGTTCACAAGATGATGCGGAGGATGGATACAATCTCGACGGGCATGTGATATTGAATTCTTGCAAAGAGTTTTACAAATTGAGCTTCATGCGCACGAAGACTTCGCTTGCGAGAGTGCAGCTGACACTATAAACACAAGTCAACGATGGAAGGTGCCGTGGTCCGCCTCCTGGTGGTGTTCTCTGGTATAGTTTGAGTAGCCTGTGCACCTACTTCACTTGGCAAAGAGACACCTAAGACCATACTTCGCGCGGAGGAAAGATAATGGATGACGGAGGCATGTCTGGATAGCTCAGGGTTTTTGAGACGTTCCCCTGGGTGGGTATTCACGGATGAGGGTTGACTTGGGGAGAAGAAAAAACCACCATAACTTCGCGGTGGTACTCAAAAATGAAATCCGGGGCATGAGTGCTCCTATATATTGACTCATCTATCATATACTTTTCTTTGATATTATGTCATAGCTAGATAGCTGCATACGCAATTAAAATCTGATGCAAAAAAAAAAAACCACAACAGACCTTTACATACAGATAAACATGTACATTAAGGGCCTAGTTATATTGGTATTCAAGACGCACACTTGTATGTAATAGCAAAATTTGTAAGAATGACAAAAAAAGAAACCGGCACGCAAGACGAAGATTAAGCAATTGTTGGAAGGGATCTTTACCATGCCAAAGGTCATAATCCCCCTCTGAGCACAGTAAAAATCCTAGCAAGAGGTGGTTTCGAGAACTTATGAAGATAGGGGATACATGGTGCTATTGTCAAGTTCAAAGTCGAAAACCAACTTGTGGACTTTCTAGTTTGCACAACCTACAAAATCAATCAACTCTACACCAAACATGAACTGAAAAAAAGGCCTATCCTTTCCGACTGTTATGTTTTAACATCTGAAAACCTTTAAAACCACGATTTCCACTAGAATATCTCTAGCAACTAAATTAGCCTTGTGATCCTCGCTATAATCATCTCACATTCCAATGGGTCTTCCTTATAAATCCTGAAATAATTATAGTCGTCAAAGAATTGATGCAAGTTTGAGATGAGAAATTTACGTGCGCTCTCTACATACGGTCGAATTAACGACCTGAAATTCACAGATAACAAGGCTAAGGGACCCACCAACTTCGAGAAATAGTTACCGTCAAAATATGCAAGTCATTCCGCAGCACATCAGCCAAATCATGCGAAAAAAGCCACGCATTAATACTTAGGACTCAAGCATCCATCCGTAGGTTTAAACTCTTAGTATAAAAGTGTATATTTTATGAGGCCCCGGGAAGCACATTACTTAAGCTTCTAAGATGAGTATGCTGGAAAATACCACAAAGAAATACCAAAATGAAGAACCAAACACATACAAAATTGGGTGGCATCGGCTGGCGACTAGATGAGGCCCTGAAATAATGAAACTACCCATTAATGAGGCGAGAAAAAATAAGGATTTGGAATATTTTAAGGGCCTGAACTAGTGCTGATCGAGTCTGAGAATGAATCTGTGTTCTCATGCCCCATAATCGAATTCAGGCCGGACGGAATCGATAAGATTTAACATCTGGTTGAATTATAAGGTGGCCCGCTCAATTACACAAGCAAGTTTCTGATTTACAATGGTAGTTAACTTGATTAATCATGCCTCACTCACGGTTCAGTACCTTAAAGAGTGCGGAAGTTGCCAATCAGCGAGATCGTTAAATTTCAAAATGACCTCGAGAATTTCGGGATTTTCGCAGATAAGTATGTTCGTGGAGCTATTGGATGTGATTACCACACTGATAGACAATAAGTTAGCCAAGTTAGAACCTGAGCTAGTAGTACCTATCAATAATGTGTTCGATCTTTGATTTAACAACAAAAACAGCTTCATTATTTCATAAAGGTATTTTGTACCAAGTGACTTCCCTAGACATATTTTGGTGCGCTGCCATTTGCTTTATAACAATATACAAATAAATGTTAGAGACTTTTTGTATTTACTAAAGACTCATAGATGTCTTAAGATCTCCCATGGGATCAATTCGAGCCCTTACACCCTAAACTTCTACGAAAATGACCTTCGGTACGAAATTTAAGTCTTCAACCTACCTCGAATGCAAAAACTTTCCCATTTTTACTCGATCCAATAAAGGTGATAATGAATGAAACCAGAACAGTTGCTAAGACGAAAACATAAAGATTTCATAAGAATATTATTTGGTTAATTTAAAGCCGCAAATATTGTTACTGATGAGACAACAGGCAGAAAAAGGATTACCTACAGAAACACACCGCCAGATATCCACCGGAACTTTGGCAGGGTCCAAACCAGTGTTGCAGTTCAGATAAGAAGTGGGCACATTGGTCTCAAGTCTTATCTGTATCGAAGGAAAGTCCCCGGGGTGATTAATCCAAAATGTCAGTGTGGATGTCCATCTCAAAATGTCAAACATATGGTCTTGGCGTGTCCTCAGTGGGTAAAGGGAAGAGGAGAGGTGCTTCGAAAGGCAAGGGATAGGTTCTTTGGCGGCAATAATGAACAGCCCAAATGATATGGGGAGAATTACAAAAATAGATCCTGGTAAAAGACTGGTTTGAAAAATTCCGGCTTGCATAAGAAGTAGAAATTGCACTGGAAGAAAAGATGAGAGGATGTAGACGAGGATAAGACGGAATTCACACTCTATAAACAGTGTAAACGCACTCTCTGAAGGAAACCTTAGACAAACCAATAGATCTGAGACGGACAGTTTTTGGGGTTTTCACCGAATTGGTTTCCTCCTATGTAAATATTATAGCTAGATATACCATCATGGACCCATAGGGTACCTGAACAGGCTTATTGAAATCAAAGTATGGTAAATTAATTCTCATTCTCTGATGACGGCATAAGCTTGTCAAACTTCTTCAATTTTACTATCCGAAAATGTTGCATATTCAAGTAGGACAGGAGCTGCGGCATAGGGGTTAGATGTGCAGACGATTATAACTTTGGAGAATAGACTTGCCTATCTTTGGACGGAAGAATCTTTAAATCAAACCTTATATTCTGAACTCCTTGAGAGAGTTAAGTTTAGGTGCGAGCAGACAGGTTGAAACGTGATCATTAGGTCAGTGGACCTCACGACCTTGCCTGTAGGTCAAAGCTATAGTGAATGTACATATAAAAAGCAGATTAATACGCCGATAATATGAAACCTATTCTGACTGTGATATCATTTTAAACCCCCATTATCCCTCAAAATATTTATTCTCATATCAAAACATAATCATTCATGCCCTAGAGACTAGCGGAAACTTCAAAATAGAAACTACTCAAGACTGATTCTTTACATTGCCATTTCTGCCTGGAGCTTACGCAATTCTTCCTCTTCATCATCCTCTTCAGAATTTACTGGTTGCTTGCCCTTGACTAAGGCTTATGTCAGTTTCTTTCAACTTAATTTGGTGAGAGTAGAAATTTGGCTTACTCTCAGTGGTTCCAGCTGCAGGTAATCTTTGTATTCGATCCTGAATGGGTAGAGTACCTGTCCCAAGCATCTGGTTATCTAATTGCTCTTGTTCGAGTTCGGCAAGCTCATCATCAAGCTCTGTTTCATCAATAGGTTCCCCTATGGGTGCACTTGTAATAGCTTGGGCTATTTCTTCACCCAGCGCATGTTGTTCCCGTAATTTTTCCCTTAATTAAGGTCAGTAAATTTCACACGTAGTATGACACGACGGGGCGTACATTGTATCGTCGACTTTATTGATGTTTAACTTTCCGTGGATCTGTTGCATGGCTTCACCTGCACGTTCCATTGCAGCGAGAGTCTCTCGGTTGATATTAGCAGCTTCAATGGAATAGATTTGCTGCTCTAGAGTGGCAACTTGAGCGGTAGTTTGTTCAAGGGTGTGTTCATGTTGCTTCTTTCGTCGAAGTGCAGCTTTAGCAGCTAGCTCACCAAAATAGTCAGTCTAAGGGCTGCACAAAGAGATCTTATGAAGGCTTTATCGAATCCATCCAAGAGGTCCATTTATTGCCTTAGCGACGTACCATTCTTATTGGAGTTCACATTTTTCCTTGCAATCGCCTCTTGTTCATCCATCTGGTTTTGTAGATGTCTCTCTCTTTTCTGCAACATTTCTAGTTGTGATCTTAAGCCTAGAATAGCGTTTTTTGGTGTATCTTTCCTCTTTTGGGCACTCTGGCCACCAAACCAGCCCCATACTCCAGACATCCTCACCAGCTCGCTACTTCTGATCTCTTTTATTAAAGGTCGTGTATTTCCGGTAAAAGCCTCAACAATTTACGTGTGAAGTAGCTCACTATCGATTTCTTGACACGTCGATATTGCCAGCGGCTTGTTGAAGGTAAAAGTGATGATGCTAGCAAGTGTTGTATTAGTGCTGCGATGAATAGGCTACTGAGTCTATTGAAGTTAGAAGATTTATTAAAAGACTTTCGTATGGATGCTTGGGCTTGTCTATTGAAGATGTCCCACACTCTAGTTGGGTGATTATCCCACTGTGTATCTGTCCCAGAAATGACGACGTGACAGGTGGGTAAAATCACATGACTATGTTGAAACCCCCCTTTGGTTGAAGAAGTTAGGCATGACACGTACAAATCCTCACGATGAGCCGGAGTTTGAGGAGCTTAGACGGTAACAAAATGCTGAAATGAAAAGGCTAGACCATGTTTGATTGTTTAGTTTCACGCAAAAAAGCATGCCAACGGACAATTTCTGTACGCGGTATATCGATACGTCTGCGGTATATGATGATCTTGCAGACTATGAGAAAAAGACTGAGATTTATTAGCACACAGGATTGACAGTGAAAAACGATGCGTATCGAATCACGAAGCTTCATATATAATCTATCTCATGCAGTGTAGAACGAATAACAAGAGCTGGTGATCATTTCCCCACGTGATGACTAGGAGGCTCGCAACCTATGACAGCAATTTCAAAGCTATCTCTACATGACCCGTGGTACGTCAGGAAAGGCAGAGGGCTTCAGGCCGTTCAAATCCGCCCGGCAAACACCGCGGACATCTGCTGGGTCACAATAATGGGTTTTACGCCCTCAATCACGATCGCCAACGTTTACAGACCACCTCAAGAAACAGAAGGAGGTGCCGTAATATGCGCTCTTAAAGAGTTCCGGGTGCCGCCTAATTACATTGTAGCGGGGGACTTCAATACGAGACATCCGCTCTGGGATTCCCGTGCAACAGCTTCGAGAAAGTCTATAGAACTAGTCGATTGGGCACAAACAAACGATCTAGTTCTCACATCACCAATTGATAAGAGCACACACAGCAGAGGCAACACTCTTGATCTAGCGTTCACCAACAACCCTCACGTCCAATGTAATATCGAGGAGCATCTACACACAACATCAGACCATGAGACACTTGTGTCCATAGTTCCATGCACTAGGCTCAAGCTGCACTCCCCTAGAGTCCAGTTTAGTCTAAAGCCCGAGAGCATTCCACACTTCGCTGCCGGAGTCAAAGAAACTCTCCCGACCGCCGAGTACCTACCACAGGATGTTGATAGGCTCACAAACTTGATAACCCAAATCATCCAGGTCAATATGCAGCGATTCTTACCCAGGAAGATTCAATCCGGGAACGGGACCAAATGGTGGAATAAGGAGTGTGCAAACAAGGCTGCAGAATATCGGAGGGCTAGAAGGCGAGGCGAAGCCACAACAGAGAAACACGCCTTGCGGAAAGCTACACGGGCAGCTAAGAAGGAATTTTGGATGAAAAAGGTAGAAGAGGCTCGCCAACCTAAGGATATCTTCAAAATCACTAGTTGGCATAAATATAATGGATCTTTCGGCTCACCCCCTATAAAACACAACGGAAGTACGTTCACAGACCCTAGCGGTAAAGCATCTGCTCTCAGTCGGGCTCTACTAGAAAGGAGATCGAATGAGGAGGATATTAGCCTAGAGCTAGAACCAACAGTCACCAAGGATGAACTGCACATAGACGCACTAGTCGAATTAGATGAGATTGAGCAGTGTGTACTCTTCGCGGGCAACACCGCCCCAGGGATCGACGGCATCACTACTCAAATATTACGGGCCTGTTGGGACAGCATCAAATATGCGGTACTTCTACTTTTTCGTCGGTGCTTAAGCCAAGGCCACCACCCTAGTGCATTTTGCAGAGCAGAAGTTATCTTTCTTCCAAAACCAAATAAGAGGGATCTCAGCTCACCAAAATCATGGCGTCCCATTGCCCTTCTGTCTTGCCTAGGCAAAGGTCTCGAGAGATTGATGGCTAGAAGAATTAGTCACGCGGCCATCACACAAAACGTGTTAAGCCAACAACAATTTGGGGCACTTCCAAAAAGATCAGCCACTGATCTCGTCGGTTGCCTCGTTCACGACATTGAGAAAGCTCGCTCGCAAAGGAAAGTTGCCTCACTACTAACCATGGACATCAAAGGAGCCTTCGATACAGTCCTTCCGGGACGGCTCATATATAGACTCAGAGAACAAAGATGGCCTAAATGGCTCATAGGCTGGGTGGAATCATTCGTCACCAACAGATCGGCCCGAATTCGCATAGGGGATTTTTTCACCCAAGAGACACCACTGATTTGCGGTCTCCCTCAAGGATCTCCCGTATCACCAATACTCTTTATGCTGTACATCGAACCTTTGATCAGTCTCGCAAACCCAAGATGCGTCTATAGCTATGCAGACGACATTGCTTTCATTCGCACTGGCAAAACTCTGTCAGAATGCTCAGAAAAATTAGCAAAAGATCTTGAAAAGGTTATAGAATGGGGGATAGGTAATGCTATCACTTTCGATCAAGAAAAGAGCGAACTACAACACTTCACACAAGCCCCCAAACCTAAGGAGTACCCAATTGTTCGGATGGGCGACTGGTGCATAGCCCCCAATCAAGTCACTAGATGGCTGGGTTTTTGGCTGGATAGGAAGTTATCCTTTTTAACACATGTGAAAAAGTGGGCAGCTAAAGCGTCGTCAGTCGCAATGCACCTGAAACGTCTCAATAATTCTCAGCGAGGGTCTCGCCCGGATTTGGTTAGACAGGCAGTCAAATCGTGTGTCATACCTATTGCCACATATGGAGCAGAAGTCTGGTGGCCAGGGGAAACAGTATACTCATGGAGTAGAGGAATACAGAAGGACCTGAAAAACAGAAGCAACTCACACCTATCGCTTCTCTCCAAGTCTGTTAAACTAGGGTTGAGATCAATTCTGCCAGTATTCAAAACTACACCGCTACCAATTCTTTATCGAGAAGCTGGTATCCCCCCAGTCAACCTTATCCTCGAGGAGACTCGTTTACGGCAAGCACTTCGGATTCAAACGTTGGACGACAAACACCCTCTGAAGAAAAGAGCACTCGGTAAGGCCTTCACCCGCCTCACTAGAACGACAAAACTGTTGCCACTTTCAGTTGACGGAAAAGATGTTCCTCTCGTCGGGAAGAAACGGAAGTTTGACGCAAACGTTCCCCGCAGAATTCACGATATACATCTCTTTACAGACGGTTCGCGTACTGCTGACGGAAAGGCGGGGGGCGGATTTGTCATTTTCCAAGGAGGGAGAAAAGTTAAGACCGGGAGCTTCGGCATAGACCGCAAGGTCGAACCTATCGACACGGAAATAACTGCCATTTGCCAAGGTCTCTCTGCCTGTATACAATTTGCCAACACACGATTCGCCACTAATATATTAGTGCACACAGACAACAGAACAGCCGTCGGAATTGTGAATGGAAATTCTTCTTTGACGTGCCGAAAAGAAACTAAGTTAATTCGAGAAGCACAGGAGAACTGGAATAGGCGTGAAAAACTCGCTCATGTCTCAAATGGTTTTATTTTTGCGGAGTGGGTTCCCGGTCACATGGGTGTCCCGGCAAATGAAGAAGCAGACTCTCTGGCGAAAGCTGGAGCTCTTAGGGTACAGCCGGCCGTACTTGAGAACAACCCATCCTTTGCGGCAGTCAAAAGTCATGTTTTGGATATGAGGAAACAACTCTTAGATTCTTGGTGGGACATTCACGGCCCTGCAAGATATAAAGACCTAGACATACAGGCAGGAGTACCTGGAAAATGCCCAGCCACGCTACGGATTCCCAGGAAAGCACTCCACCACCTTCTTTCGGCCCGTTCAGGGCACGGAGACTTTGAGAATTACCATGAGAGATTTAACCATACCAGCTACTCACCGTGCATTTGTGGGCGAGCAAAGTCCCCTATTCATTTTTTTTTCTGCCGCTTGAAAAGAGCGACAGTAAGAAGATATACTGGAAAACTCAGAACTCAAGAGGCAATAAATTGGCTATTAGGCACAGAGGAAGGGGCGGTGGCATACTCTAGTATCATAAATGGAATGTAGTCTCCTCTGGGGAAATAAATGTAGGGACCGAAGTATTGCATAAGATTGCGATACTGGACTGGATTGTAATTAGTGCAGAACTGCTAGAAAATTTCGCTGCGGGCTTAGCTCGACAGCGCGTCCTTCGCCCCTAGGGAGGTTTTTGGAGACTATCGGAAGATAGTTTCGCCGCGGACGTTAAATGCTAAAATAAAATAAAATAAATACATGACCCGTGCAATGGCACGACATTACATTTAATTAACTTAAATCAAGGCAATTTCATAGCCGGCCTAGAGGAAATTGTCACCTTCCAGCGGTGCCGGTACAATTGCTAAGTATTCTCGGCATATCTGGGATAGCCAAGAAGAATCGCATCCGAATTGAAGACGAAAGTAAATACAGGCACGTCTAAAGGATGGCAAAGACTGAACACCTGTACGCGGTATTCTCTACGAACCTGGGTGTGATATATTCTTACAGAGCTAAGTTCAGTTATATTTCGCAATTCCGAAGAAGCCGGCCCACGAGGCAATGATTCAAGTCTCTCTACGAAATCAAACTCTCCCACCCAACGAAATCGATCTCCACCGAAACCTCATCAAATTTACAAGTACGACCTAGTTCATCCTAATTTCAATGGCTACTCCTCTCATCGACTATTCTCTGGCCTAAACTGGCCACCAAATACACGCCCACGCCGAAATTAATACCCGACGGAGGAAACAAAGCGTGGCGCACAAATCTGGGAGACAGTTCTTTTGGATGGACCAGAAAGGTATCAAGACAAGTTCACAAGATGATGCGGAGGATGGATACAATCTCGACGGGCATGTGATATTGAATTCTTGCAAAGAGTTTT